GAAGACACAAATTGTGGTGAGATTAGAAACTCGACTAAGATAAATCATCAATTTTTGTAAGGTTAGAAAATCTCAATAAATTAAAAAATAGTTAAAATTTCACTTTGATTGGCTAGATTAAAGATATTAAAACCTTTTGTTTGAAGCTAGAGAAATAAGCGCTTTTACTTAAGAAAATAATCTTTATTAATTCTCAACGTAAATGTCTTATAACTAAGCTTAAAAGTCTTATTTATAGTATTATAAGCTCACGTCTTAATAAAGTTCTATTTTACGTAATTTAGTATAACTAAAGTAGTTAACAAGAGATTTAAATAAAATTGGTGTTCTATTCCTAAGAAAAACATGACTAGTCTAAAGTCTTCATAGAAGAAAATAAAATAAAAAGGAAAATTTTATTATACCTATAGTTCCTAAATAATAATAGTAATCTAATAATATACTCTTGTATCATTCTCCCTAGATTGAAAAAAACTTATCTTCAAGATTCATGTCTTCTTCATAGTAAGGAGAGAGATCAACTACATTTAAAGTTGAAGAAACTTCACAATTTCCAAGAAGTTCGATCTTGTAAGCATTCTGATTAATACGTTCCAAAACTCAAAATAGTCCATCAGCTCGATGAGATAATTTTGCCCATGACTTAGGAAAATGTTCTTTCTTTAAGTGAATCCATATTAAGTCTCCTTTTTTAAAACTAGTTGGCTTTTTGTGCTTGTTGGCTTGCTTTTAATATCTGGTAGTTTGATGAATAATCTTCTCTTGAACTTCTTCATAAAGTTTCTTGATTTGCTTAGCACGTTCGTTAGTATCAGCACTATATTCACGAGTAGTTGGTAATGCAGGAAAATCTGAAAGACTAAAAAGGCTTTTTCCATACACTACTGCAAATGTATATTTTCCAGTGGTTTGGCTTACAAAATTATTGTATGAAAATTCTACTTATGCTAACACAAGATCCCATTGGTGAATGTGTTTACCCACAAAACTTCACAATAAGTTTTCCAAACTTTTATTGACCACTTTTATATGAACATCCATTTGAAGGTGACTTGTTGAACTAAATTGCAAGTTAGTCCCCATTAACCTTTAAAGAGTTTGCCAAAACTAACTCATGAACTTCACATCTTGATTTAAAGTGATGGTTTTTGGAATTCCATGAAGACGCATAATTTCTTTGAAATACAAATCAATTATGTGAGAAGTGTCATCTGTTTTATGGCATGACATAAAATAAGCCATTTTAGAAAATCTGTTGACGACCACCATTACAGAGTCCTTTTGCCTTTAGGTTCTGGATAAACTCAAAATAAACTATATACTCACATATACCCAAGGAGCTTTAAGAATGGTTTATACGTAACAATGTTTTGATTTCCAAGCTTGATAATATGACAAATATGACGCTTTTGAATAGGTTGGATGATATCTTACTGCAGTTTGGGCCTATAAAATTTTTCTTTCACAAGAGCCAATGTTTTGTCTATCCCAAAATGTCTAGTTAATCCTCCATTATGAGCTTGCCAAATTATATATTGGCGTAGAGATCATTAAAGGATGCATTGTTGATTATCTTTGAAAAGATACCCTTTTTGTCGGTAAAATTGTCAGTAAGGATGTTGAGAATTGCATTTTCATATTTTACCAAATTCAAGATCTTTCTCATACAATTCTTTTACAACTGCAAAGCCAACAACCTTTAATTATAAAGTAGGGAGGAGAGTAAGGTGATGACTTAAGGCATTAGCTAACCTGTTTTGCACACGTGGTTTATGGTTGAGAAAATTAGAAGGGCTTGAAGAAACTCACTCCAAGCTGCATGTCGGTGAGTTAAGGTGTTTGAGGGCTTCGTGATCAAAATACAAGATGAATTATTTTGGCAACAAATAGTGGCTGCATTGGTCCAAGGCTTGAATAACAGCGTAAAACTCTTTATCATACATTGAGTATTTCAATTTTGCATCATTGAGTTTCTCACTAAAAAAGGCAATAGGTTGTCCTTCTTAAGAAAGAACAACATCAATATCTACATTGGAGGCATCACAATTAACTTCAAACACCAAATCAAAGTTCGAAAGTGCAAGCATGGGAGCTTCTGTAATCCTTTCTTTCAATTCCTTAAAGCTATGCTTTGCCTTGATGTTCCATATAAAACTATCTTGTTTGAGGCATTCAATAAGCAGAGCAACAATAGAATTGTAAGTTTTGATGAAATGTCGGTAAAAAGAGGTTAATCCATGAAAGTTTCGAAGATCATGAGGTGACTTCGAAACTAGCCTGTTGACAATAGCATCAACTTTGCTTTAGTCCATTTCAATTCCTTGGCTTGAAGCAACATATCTCAGGAAGATAATTTTGGTTGTCATAAATTCACACTTTTTTTAAGTTAGCAAAAGCTTTTGCTCTCAAAGTACTTTAAAGATTGGTCGTAAATGTTCCAAATGCTCTTTTTGACTTTTACTATATACCAAAATATCATCAATACAACTAGAATAATTAACAAGAGATTTAAATAAAATAAGTATTTTATTCCTAAATTAAGCGTGACTACCTAAACTCCTTGCACAAGTAAATTAAATAAAATAAAAAATTTTGTTATATGTATAATTTTTATAAAATAATAATTTAATAATATACACTTGTATCAACTGGAGTGTATGATGATTTTGGAAGGGGGAGTGGTATTCCCTGAGTTCTTTCTATTGGTGTGTTTCTAGGTGACACATGGCTTCTGTTGGGTTTTTTGCAGTATTAGGGACAATTCTGTATAAAAACGGTTTGAACCGGGTCAATTTTGGTTAAATGAAAATCGCCATGATAGAGGGTTCTAATTGTACAACTTTTGAGAGGTTGAATGCTGTATTAAGTCGCATAGATGTGAGACTAATCAAGCATTCCTTCCCTTCTTGATTGAATGAAAATGAATCACCTTTCAAAAACCAAAATTTCTTTAAATCTTGAGATTACTTGATTGGAGTTTGTAAAATGGAAAAGACGTACTATGTCTCATTTTATGGCTAAGATTAAGTAAAAAGAAATATAATATATAAAAATCAATGATGCAAAAGCTTTTGCAAACTCTTACGCAATGTGCAATTCTTTATTCATTCAAGGACGAAGAACAATTAATATGATCAAACCCGTATGATTATGAAGTATAAAATAATTAAATCCCTTTCGCCACAGTGGAAAATTTTTTGAGTGTCATTCATCACAAAATAAATTATTCCAAATAATTGACTGAAACATAGTTCTTGGTCACCCCAGCCTCCAGTTAGTTACAAAAAGATAACTGATTACAAGTAATCACTTAAATTTTTTGAGTTTTATAATCTAAGCATTCTATTTTAAAAAATAACATTTAAGTTACATAAATAATTTATTTTAAATCATCTCATCGTATTAATTTTTTTTTCATATTAATATTTAGAGGTATTCAAGGATCAAGTGATCGAAGATGTAATTTTTTAAATCTTAATCTAACCTGGTCATGCCTGATTAACTTTTTTTTAATAAATATTATATTTTTATTAAATTTTAATTCTAAAATATATTTAAAATATTACAAAATAATAAAATGATAGTTGAATGAAAGAATCAAACCAAACTTTAAAAAAGAAGGTTGGATAGATCGAACCAAACTCAACTGGACTTGAATCATGAACGCCTCTACTAACATTACACCTTATCGTTTTGCACCAAGTGTCCATGTGTGACAGAAATTAAGAAAATAAAAAGAAAAGGAAATTGGGTGACATGGAAATAGAAAAGAAAAAAGTTTCCAAAATGATTTTATTCTGGAAAATTAGGTGACTAATTTTTCTTTATATAAAATAATGACATGAAATGTCACTACGAAGATTCGTTAATATTTACAAGTCGAATGATTATGAATATACCATTTAAGTAACGTTGATGACAAGACAAAGAAAACCCCAAAGATTTAAGTAAAGAATCCTTAAGAAAAAATTGTTGAAAAGAAAGATCCGACATATATAGAGGTATGCCGACGAGTCACGGCTTCGTTTGCTGAGGGAAGCCTTGAGCCTTTTTGTTTACGTCACTCTGGAGTCTCCTGCAAATTGCAATTGTAAAAGAATGAAAAAAATTAAACCTCTAACCCCGCCAACAACAAGATTCCCATTTCCATGTGCCTCTCCAGCTTCACTAACCTTGTCATTGTCTTTATCTACATAAATTTTTTTTAAGGACAAATTTATTGATTTCCGCAACCAGTTTGTTATTACAATTTTCTTACTTTTTTGACAAGAGACTTTTCGTGACCCCAAAATCTGAGTCTGAGTTGGGCAAAATAAAATTTATACAATCATCCAAAAAATAGATCACAGTTCACTGCCTTAGGACCATAACTCGGCAAAAAACAATATGAGACCAGAAACACAACACAACCTAATTAAGCAAACATAAATACAAGACCACGTAATTTTAATTATAAGAGTAAATTGTAAAAGGGTACAAGATTTTAATTGTTTTGCTAATTTGTGGAGGCGGCTATTGTTGAAGAGGTATTGCATACTCATCTACGATGAAATATTATTTAATTTCTTTAAAAATAAATGTTAAAAATCAAGATAGGGCATTTTCTTTTCTGCAATCTAATTATAGTAAGGAGGATTGTTGTTTTAAAAAAGTGGTATACTAATGACGGAGAAAAGTGGATATCTTTTGTTGATCAAGAGAAATAGAGACGGTAGGTATGGGTTTAATGATGTGAACTTTAAATATAATATATGAGAAGACTAATTTAGTTGGTTAGATACCAACTAATAACCAAGTGGATCTAAATAGTTATACTATTCTTTTTCAGGTCTTTTATAATGCAAAATAAAACAATAAATGGGTCCGGAATTCATCTATAAAAGGCGGCAAAGCACGTCCCTCCATGCATGCAAAATCCAGCTCTTCCCATCTCCAACAAGCTCTTCAATATTCTTCGTGCTTTGTGATCTTTGTCTGCTTTTCTTTCTCTTCTGTGACATATGGCTACCACGGTTGGGGTGCTTAGTAAAAAGTCATATGGTTTGAAAGACGAAGCCATTTCTCATTCCCTTGACTCCATGAATTCCGTCGATTTTGTTTCAGCCACTGATCATCATGATGAAATCCCCACAGTTGACTACTCTTTGCTATTTTCTGATGATCATGTTGAACGGGCTAATGCCCTGGAACACCTTGGCAAAGCATGCCAGGAATTTGGTTTCTTTTACGTATGACCCTCCAATTTTGTTCTCTTAGTTGGAATATTTTACTAGAGTCACTTTTATATACACGTTTCATAAAAGAAAACCATCTTGAAGATCCACACAGAGTAAAACAGTATTTCATTTATAGGATCGTGAGTGTTGACTAATTAAGAAATTGCATGCATATTTTTAACTTTTTATGAGAGGAATTGTTTCATTCTTTTCAGAAAAATTTATCTTGATATAATTCGTTTTATTTTAGTAGGAAATTTTTTATTTTTGCAGCTGGTAAATGGTGTTGCCGAAAGTGTGGTTGAAGGAGCATTGAAGGGAATTTCGGATTTCTTTCATCTGACAAAACAGGAGGAGAGGAGTGAGTACTTAAAGAAGAGTTCCAAGGATAGGATAAGGTGGGGTCTAAGAAGCCATGCTGGAGAAAACAGAGAGTTCCTAAAGGTAGTGGCACATCCCCAGTACCACTGCCCTAGCAAACCCGCCGATTTCAGGTATGTGAACCAACCTATCATTTTCTTTCTTCTTTTATGGATATAATTAACTTTGGTCATTGAGAAAAAAAAACTATTAACTATATACTAGTTACTTATATAGCTTATAATAATAAAAAAAAAACAACAGAGATTTCATTAACAATAAAAATAAGAGCAATTATATAACAGTGACCAATCCGTAGGTGATGGGAAACAGCTTAATGATATTTATATTTATAGTTATAAAAAGACATTACATCTCAATTTAATTCCCTTTTTGCTATTGAAATTAAGAAATTTAAAAAAGAGCAGTGCAATTTAATTAAAATTTTATTTTCCTAGTAATATATCCATAAATCTTTTTAAAGCTTTATATCTTATATTATATATTTGATTAACAGTATAATTATATATATATATTGATTATTTATTTGGAGCCTTAGAGTCACTTTCTTTTCTACGTCTGATCGATAGGTATTTCACTTATTTTGACATTGATTCGTTGAAGGTATTGAACTTTGGTGCTGAATTAAATGCATGACATTCTATTTAGAGTCTCAAATAAAGTTGCATGATCAGAATTCAGAAGCATAAGTTATCATTCTTTTTGTTCTGAATCATCTTAGATGAATAGAATAAAATAAAAATAAATATAACAAAAATGGAAATAACGAATCTCTAACCGTATCCTTAAATCAGGCATTCATCTTTAGATCAGTTATTTAATTTTATTAGAAATAAATAGTTGTTGATGGCTTCACATGGGGGATTTTCTATATATTGACAGAGATGCCATTGGAGAGTACTACAAACGGTTCCATGAGGTTGAACTTGGTTTAGCTAAAGCAATCTCAAAAATTTTAGGATATGAAGAAACCTATATTGAGAAGGAATTCAAGCTAGAAGCAGGCTTCGATGTTTCTGCCATGAATCTGTATCCTCCATCCTTCCACTCCAAAGGTTCCATCGGTGTCCCTGATCATACAGACCCTGGCCTTTTTGTTTCCCTCATACAAGATGTTAATGGCGGCCTTCAAGTGCTCTCTCATAATGGAAAGTGGATCAGTGTTAACATACCCCGAAACGCCATTTTCATAAACCTTGGGGATCATCTTGAGGTATATATACGCTTGAATTACTGACAAGTAGCATACTATTACTTATCCAGATCTCTTATTGGACGTTAATCTTACAAAAATTACACTAGATTAACCTATAACCAATTCAATTGGAAAACAATAGAAACATCCGGATTTGTGTAAAATCTAAGTGATTTTTAAGTCGAATTCAGGTTTTTCTTTATAAAAGACCTCTACAGGGGGAGAAGAACGAAAACTTTTTGGATAATACAAGTTCATAAGCCTTTTCTTTTCGTTGCTTAACCTTTGGATTACCTTTCTACGCCCTTTCTTGACCAACTCCCAACCGGTCAACCCACAAAGTTTGTTTTCCCAAAATCAGGTGCATGTCGATGTTTAATTGTTAATTCATTTTCGTAGATCGACGTAATTGATTATTAGGGTAGTATTATTGTTGTCCCTGTACAATTAATGATTTTTTTTTTGTAGATTTTAACCAATGGCAAGTACAAGAGTCATATTCATCAAGTGATCCTGGATAACAACGAAGTCAGAAGAATCTCCATGGCCACACTTCATGGGCCTTCACTGGACGCATTCGTAGCCCCAGCGCCAGAGTTCGTGGATGAGTCTCACCCACCAGCCTACCGAGGGGTGACCTACAAGGAATCCTTGGAGCTTAATGGTTACGATGAAATCGATGTCCAGTCATCTATTGCACAGCTTCGAATATCCATCTAATGTCATGAGCATAACTGAGAATATCGAATATGATGTGTTTACTAGCTGTTGATCGTCTATGTCTTAATTGTGTTCGACTCATCAACCGATCGTCATGTATATAGTAATGTAATATAAAAATGTTGTGTATTTATGATAGCTGTCCGTGTTTGGGAGAAGAGAAGAAGAATATAGTAATACAGAAAAGAAGCTTTTGTAGTTGTCCAATGGTTTGATGTGCTTCTCTTTTGGGGAATTTCTAGATTAGGTGGATTATGAACTCAAATGTAACTTTACTATGTTTCCTAATAAAGTCCAGAGGTAAGTTATTAAAGGGTGGAATGTTTGAACCTTTGTGAGTGGTACCATGTTTAACTCGGGGTCGAAACCTATATGGATATGTTTTTTTTGAAGAAAGATGAATTTCATTAATCATCAAGAAACAGTACATTTAGAGAATAACTAATATAACAATATAAAACCTCTCCACCCAATAAACATCGTTACGATCTTAAGACATGATTTTAGGACCTTGTTAAAAAACTTTTTAAGAAAAAACCTTTTTAAGAAAAAACCTAATGAAAAAAACCAAAAAATAAGAAAAAGAGTACTCTAAAAAACATGTATTTCTAAAATCTCAAAGCTCTACAATCATTATCCATCTTTTGCTTCCTGTAACCCAATCCAATCTTGTCTTAAGACACTTAGGATTTGCAAAGCATCCAAACTTGTCATATAAGCTGATCATTCTCATGTTGTAGCATTCTTCCCCGGTGGGCAATTGAATGAGCACATCAATTAGTTTACCTTCTACAATGCAATGCATCAATGCACCTTAATTGCTCCATGAGTAGGCTGCAGTCCTCAACAATGTTCCCTGCACCACCTTTATAATTCTTCTCTTGCAGCTGGCCAACAACCACACTACCGTCTAGCTCTATCTCCTTTACAGCTAAGTTCTCTTAACACACATGTAAAGACCAAGCTAATGCATTCAATGTAGCTTCAGCCACAGAAGTTCCATACTTGAATCTTTTAACCCTAACTAATCGTATCGTCCCTATCACGACCCAAACCCAAAGGTTTTTGATCAGCGCACGAGTCCGGCAAACTAACGTGAGACCGGAGTAGGTCTTAGAATCCTAAATCATATGCACATAGCCGAGGGTTCCATAATCCACATATTCATATAATATTTAAATTCAAATACACATAGTTGCCCTTGGCACATTGTTCATGCAAAATAGTTAATACAATATTCATAAGTTCATACATTTGCCAATAAAGCAGGTTTGTACCTTACAAGCCTCAACTCAAGTTCAAATGGCACATCGTCCTACATACATAACAACTAAACTGAACTCTAAAGACGGAAGCACATGACAAACTCAGCGGAGAGGACATGTCAAGATGGAGACCTATCGGAGGCCAAAAATGGTCTGTCAATGGACGACGCCTATCATGTTATCTTGTGGCCTATTTATCTGCACATGGTAAAAAAAATGGGTGAGTCATCTAATACTAAGTGAGGGTTGCAAATAAATCAAACATATATATTAAACACATATATACATATTGTACTATCAGTGCAAACAAATGTTTTAACAAACATCTCCAATGTTAGGGATATATTAGTCATCCAAGAGTCTCCACAAATAGTATATTACTAGGCCTATCCTTAAAGCTATTTCAAAGTAAATATCCATAGGCACATGCTAGTTGATAAAGTATCATATCAATTTCAAAACGAATTTATCTAAGCCTATATGAGGTTATCTCATATCACTCACACTTTAAATCACAATCATAGAATGGTCTTCCTTAAGACATCATCAAATCACGTAAGGTGGCCAACTGATGGAATCAAATCTCGTTCAAGGTTAAGCCGTTGGTGGAGAATCGAATCGTGCTCATGCTGAAGCAATGGGCAAAGAATTAGAGTCATCATTCAGAGTAATCTTCCAACGAATGATATCATTCGAAATAGTCTCAAACAAGTGGCATTAAAGCACCACAAGTATGACTAATACCATCATCCTTGCTTACCACTATCCCTACAGGCACACATAGTCTTAGTGCATAGAACTCCATTCAACATTAAATAGATCAATGTCCAGAATTCTCAGTGTTGAACAGAACACAAATCCACAATGAGGCCATCATGCCTTAGATATCTCATATATCCATTAATCACACCATAAATTGCATTTATTGAGCTTTAATCATTTATAAGCTCAATATAGTTCCAAGTGCCCTTAAATCTCTAAGGCATCAAATATTCAATCTCTTTGAAAATCATTCATCTTGAAGAATCTACTCTTAGACATTCATCACATTCAGTACACTACCTAGTCTAGGCTTGAACATCATAGGCCACTATGTGTCCTGTACTATGGCAAACACAATACACAGCACACATAATCACATACATAATTGTTCTCTAGCCTAGGTAAGTTCATCTAGGCATTTATATTCATACAGATTATTCTAGTATCATGACTCCACATTAACACTGCGATAAGCATCACATGCTTTATAAACAAAACCCACTCATAATGACAGTCGAAGGCGTGTTCCATTGTAAAGCTGTAATTCCTAGCCTTCAATTGTCTTTTAGCTCACCAATGAGTTAGGTAGCTCCAACTTTCCCTTAAACACATCAAAGCATCCAAATAATATTTATTTCCTAGCTTTCGAAAATATCTAGCTTCTCAAAAATAACTAAATTCAATATATGAGCTTAAATCCTTCAACAAAGAACTAAATCCTTACCTTAGTGGCTAGGTTGTCCAAATCTCAACTTGTCAGTTAAAATTCCACTACACAAGTATACGTATCGAATGGACAGTATATTAGCAAGCAGAGTATTGATCCCACAGGGAATTGATCTAAAAGTTTACTAAGTATTAAAATTAGAACAAATTAATCTTATCCAAACACTCAAAATTAATTGATTAACTAAAACTAATTAACTAAAAATTAAACTACCAAGAAAAATCAAAATAATAATAACTTGAGTAAATATCAAATCAAACAAGCCTAGGATTATAATATCCCTCATACTTCATGTAAATCTTACCTCTCTCCCTTAACTTATTTCAATGGGTTGAGTTACTAACCTAGAGTCCTAATTTATTTATAAGGGTCTCCCGACTTATCTTATAAAAATATCTGTTTTAATCAAAACACTATATCCCTATGTGAATTGAAATTAAAATAGACTCATTAAGTTCAGGCTCTAATTTGTTTAGATATGGCCTACATGTATATTCCTATCCTATATGCAAATCAATTAATATGATCATATGCTATCCCAATTTTAGTCTACACTAAACTCCCTTTTCCAAGTTCGTTTAGCTTTTAAACGGATTTAATTGGTGGCGAAGCAATTAAAAGTATTAAGAACAAATTGGAATAAATAATTCAATTCCTATTAAAGATAAGCAAGAAAGAGATTAAAAGCTTTGCAATCCTAGAAAAAGAAAATTAGCCACTCATGATTGCAAAAACAAATAATATAATAATAAATTCAACCATTGAGAGTTACAAGAAAAATAAAAGCCAAGGAAGAAAACAAAACAATAATTGCCGCCTTGATCTCCAAGTTTCAACCTCAACTTGTAGCTTATTAAATCTCCCCAAAAGTTGTCTCTCTTATTTTCTAAAAAAAATCCTATTTATACTAATAGACTTAACCTATAATTCCCTAAGTTGACCTATGGTTCAATTGAGCTTAAAAATGTATTGAGAGGCCTAAAAAAATCAATTGTCAGTCTTTACAAATTTTTATTCCCAGTACAACACATCTAGCCATTTTTTGATGCGATTTTCTCTATCTTCGATGCAAAACTAGGTGAAGTGGTCCATAAAATTTGTAGGTCTATCTCTTATCTTTCCAATGGTCTAAGAATTGCATAATTTGGTGTTCTGTAATGCTAGATATGGCCAAAATACTAAAGCATATGCAAATAGACTTTTGGGTCTTCCAACACGTTACTTTCCAAAATTAAGCCTAATTCCTTTAGCTCCTACAAAAAATATAAAAACTAATAAATAACAATCAAATTAAAAAAATAACATAAAATTAAAATAACTCACTTAAAAATAAACTAACTATAAACATAACCAAAAATAAGAAAATTATAATTAAAAATTGAGAACTTAGCTAATATTTAATAACATAATTAGACTAAAATAATTCTATAAAATAGAATTATCATAGCTCCAAATCCCTAGCAAACTCAAGGGAGAAAATCTCACCAAAGCTGGACCAAATTGATGCTAAGTTATTAATTGATTCAATTAAAAATCAATCAGCAAAAACACTTGATCTTACCTCTGGAAGTGTTTCCCAAGCTTCAATATACTCTAAATAGCACCAAAAATTGGTTTGAGAGGTTAAGGTTTCTGGGTTTAGAGAGAGAAAGGGCTTTCCTCATTTGTTTTAAGGAAAATGACATATTTAGCACCTTTTATTTTTTACATTTACGGGATGATCTATCGACAGATCTCTTTAAAATTTTGGGTGTTGACTTTTTCTATCAATAGATTGTGCCCTAACCCTCTTTTTATCTTTCCCCATTTGGTCGTTTATTGTAGATTCAGTGGATCTATCGATAGATGCTTCTCATTTTGGTTTTCATTAATTTCGTATGGTTATTTATCGATAGATTCGATAGTTTCTGGGTTTCTTTGCTTTGCAAAGTCTTAAGTGGTCATCTATCGATAGCTAAAAGAATCTATCGATAGATGTTCATCCAACTTGTGTTCCTAGGCCTTCTACCTTGCAGCTATTAATGGATGTAGAACATCTATTATAGATCATGCCCAGTTTTTAGGCTTTCACTTCTCCAAGTGTCCAAATTCATTCCTAAGGCCTCTAATTCACTTTCTTTCTATGAAACACCTCAAATTATTTACTTGAAATCCTTCATACATATACTCTATTATATGATCAAATCTTGATCAAAGTATCAAACTTTAAGATTTATGAAATATGTTCATAAAATTTTTGCCTAAGT